TCTGCCTCCCAAAGTGCTGGGATTACAGGTGTGAGCCACCACACCCAGCCAACTAACTGGTAAGAAATTATTGCCGGGCCTGGTGGCTCACACCTGTAATCCCAGTACTTTGGGAGGCCCAGGAGGGCAGATCACCTGAAGTCAAGAGTTGGAGACCAGCCTGGCCAATATGGTGAAACCTCGTCTGTACTAAAAACACAAAAATTAGCTAGGCATGGTGGTACAAGCATGTAATCCCAGGAGGCTGAGGTAGGAGAATCATTTGACCCCAGGAGGTGGAGGTTGCAGTGAGCCGAGATCATGCCACTGCACTCCAGCCTGGCAACAGTGTGAGACTCTGTCTCAAACAAACAAACAAAAAAAGAAATTCTTACCCTTTTGCTGGCATTCCAGCATTCCAGGCTTCTGGTTTCCCTTTCCCTGAGAGGCTTTAATGACCCAGCTGGCTGCACCACAGCCCTGGGGGCCAATCCGCAACACAAAGCTAAATTATCTTTTTCCATTCTGGCCAGAGCAAAATACGTGTGACAAAACATACACATTAGCCACTCTGCTTTGACTGGAATATCCAACAGGCAAGGCTGAAACTTACCCTGGTTGGGCACCATCATCTTTAACCTCTGACCAGGAGTTTCAATTTGGTCTCTGGGCAAGATGGTCACCCTGAATAACAGAAAATATAAGAAAGGGAAAGGAGACAGAGAAAAACATTGCCTGCCGGGCACAGTGGCTCACACCTGTAATTCCAGCACTTTGGAAGGCTGAGGCGGGCAAATCACAAGGTCAGGAGATTGAGACCATCCTGACTAACACAGTGAAACTCCGCCTCTACTAAAAATACAAAAAATTAACCGGGCGTGGTGGTGGGCACCTGTGGTCCCAGCTACTGGGGAGGCTGAGGCAGGAGAATGGTGTGAACCCAGGAGGAGGAGCTTGCAGTGAGTCCAGATCGCACCACTGCACTCTGGGTGACAGATCGAGACTCTAAAAAAACAAAAACAAAAACATTGCCTGTGGCAGGGTGGGGAAGGCCAGGAGCTTAGAGAGACCAGAGAAGACCCCCACATTGCAGTGACACTGAAAAGTTCAAGTGGCCACTTGTCAGTAGCAAAGGGATCTTTTCCAGCAGTCCCATCAGCTCTCAAGTTTTCCCTTTTGGGGAGGAAAAAGCCCCCCATGTCCCATGATCCTGTACATTCCTAGTCCTGTCACCCATAGCCATCAGCAAGGCAGATTATTCCAGAGAACACCAGTTAACATCCCATTGTGCCAAACCCATTCCTAGCCAAGAGGGACTTTACTGAGAGGGGCCTCTAACCCCCTAACTCAAAGAAAGTAATCTAACCTTCTAACCTTCCTAAGTTGGGCATTGAACCAAAGTTTGGTCAAGTGTCCTTGCCTTTTATTGAGAGGAGCCTTTAACCAGGAGAGACTCTAACTCCCCTAAGTTGGGCCTCTAACCCAATCCCATTCTTTATCTGGCTATATGCACCCCACCCACTCAAAGTCAGCCAGTTGGTGCACGCCGATGATTTTCCTCTGGGTTGGGGGCTTCAGTGTCAATGAAAAGAGTCAAATTCTGTAGACTATTTGAAGAGATTTATTCTGAGCCAAATATGAGTGACCATGGCCTGTGACACACCCCTCAAGAGGTCCTGAGAACATGTGCCCAAGGTGGTCGGGGCGCAGCTTGGTTTTATACATTTTAAGGAGGCATGAAACAGCAATCAAATACATTAAAGAAATGCATTGGTTTAGGCTGGGTGCAGTGGCTCACACCTGTAATCCCAACACTTTGGGAGGCTGAGGTGGGCAGATCACAAGGTCAGGAGTTTGAGACTGGCCTGGCCAACATGGTGAAATCCTGTTTATACTAAAAATAGAAAAATTAGCCTGGCATGGTGGTGCGCACCTGTAGTCCCAGGTACTCAGGATGCTGAGGGCAGGGGAATTGCTTGAACCTGGGAGGTGGAGTTTGCAGTGAGCTGAGATCATGCCATTGCACTCCAGCCTGGGTGACAGAGTGAAACTCCTGCTCAAAAAAAAGAAAAGAAAGCAAAGGAATAAAAGAATGGCTATTCCGTAGACAGAAGAGCCCAGAGGGCTGCTGATTGCCTTTTGTTTTGTTTTGTTTTGAGATGTAGTTTTGTTCTGTGACACCAAGCCCGGATAATTTTTTTTTGTATTTTTAGTAGAGATTGGGTTTCACCCTGTTAGCCAGGATGGTCTCTATCGCCTGACCTCATGATCCTCCCGCCTCGGCCTCCCAACGTGCTGAGATTACAGGGGTGAGCCACCACGCCTGGCCTGGTTGCCCATTTTTATGGTTATTTCTTGATTATATACTAAACAAAGGGTGGATTATTCATGCCTCCTTTTTTTAGACCATATAGGGTAACTTCCTGATATTGCCATGGCATTTGTAAACTGTCATGGCGCTGGTGGGAGTGTTGCAGCGAGGACGACCAGAGGTCACTCTCATCGCCATCTTGGTTTTGGTGGGTTTTAGCCGGCTTCTTTACTTCAACCTGTTTTATCAGCAACGTCTTTATGGCCTGTATTGTAGCAGGACGAGAGGCAGACAAAACTCCTCAGACCCCGAGTTACAGAAGGAAGGGGTTTATTCAGCCGGAGGCATCGGTGAGACTTCAGTCTCAAGAGCCAAGCTCCCTGAGTGAGCAATTCCTATCTCTTTTAAGGGCTCACAACTCGAAGGGGTTGCACTTGAGAGGGTCGTGATTGATTGAGCAAGCAGGGGGTACGTGACTGGGGGCTGCATGCACCGGTAATTAGATCGGAACAAAACAAGATCGGGATTTTCACAGTGCATTCCTATACAATGTCTGCAATCTATAGATAACATAATCAGTTAGATCTGGGGTCGATCTTTAACTACCAGGCCCAGGGTGCGGCGCCGGGCTGTCTGCCTGTGGATTTCATTTCTGCCTTTTAGTTTTTACTTCTTCTTTCTTTGGAGGCAGAAATTGGGCATAAGACAATATGAGGGGTGGTCTCCTCCCTTAGTATCTTGTGCTGACATCCTATGTCATCCTATGACTTAGAATGCCTCCAGCATCTGGGAATGCAGCCCAGTAGGTCTCAGCCTCATTTTACCCAACCCCTATTCAAGATGGAGTTGCTCTGTTAAACACTTCTGACAGCTGTGGTTTCTTCACACAAAGAGGTTGCAGCTGGGGTTAGGTTTCTGTTCTGCCAGCCTGGCTCCTTCCCAATTCCTGTTAACTTACTGACTTATTAGGGCCCCACAGATTAGAAATTATCATTTAGGAGTCATGCAGCTAGAGGCCACAAGACTCTAAATGTCCCCAGTTGTTCCTAGGGATAATATCACTATTGTAAAAGCTAAGATTGGTGCTGGAAATATTTTTCAGACCCTGAACTTGATGGATCTGATGGCACCACTCAGATGGATAAACTGGATCATCTCGTCTTGTGCCTCCCCCTCCCCCAAAACACACTCACCACAAGATAACAACTTTGACTCCCTATGATTTCATCTCCGACCCAACCAATCAGCACTGCCGACTTCATGGCCCCCTATCTGGGGTTATCCTTAAAAAACCCCAGTCTCAGGAGGCGGAGGTTGCAGTGAGCCGAGATCGTGACATTGCACCCCAGCCTGGGCAACAGGAGCAAAATTCCATCTCAAAAAACAAACAAACAACAGCAAAAAACCTGGTCTCCCAATTTTCAGGGAGACTGATTTGAGTAATATTAATAAGTCTCCAGTCTGCTGTTCATCCAACTCTATGTGAATCAAACTCTTTATCTTTTGCAATTCCCCTGTCCTGATAAATTGGCTCTGTTTGGGCAGTGGACAAAATGAACCCGCTGGGTGTTTACACATTCATTTTAACAATACAGTAATGGTTATTAACGTTTGCATTAATCTCTGCTTCCAGTGGAATAATTTTGCATCTGAAGGACCATTTGAAATGATAGGTGAATTTGGATCTGTAGCCTTTGGGAGCATCTACACTAACTGTGAAATAATATTTTTCCATACACTGGGGTAATCAGTTACAGCCAATAATCCCAAGAAATCTCAATATGAGTTCTAAGAAAAGGCAGGATGATCCTCTGCCCAGCAGAAAGATCTACCATCTTTTATTTATTTATTTATATATTTTTTCCAAGATGGAGTCTTGCTCTGTTGCCCAGCTAGAGTGCAGGGGCACCATCTCAGCTTATCACAACCTCCGCCTCCCATGTTCAAGAGATTCTCCTGCCTCAGCCTCCTGAGTAGCTGCGATTACAGGCGCATGCCACCACGCCCGGTTAACTTTTGTATTTTTAGTAGAGACGGGGTTTCACCATGTTGGCCAGGCTGGTCTTGAACTCCTGACCTCAGGTGATCCACCCGCCTCGGCCTCCCAGAGTGCTGGGATTACAGGTGTGAGCCGCAGTACTCGGCCCTTATTTTTATTTTTTAGAGGAGAGGTCTCGCTCTGTTGCCCAGGCTGGAGTGCAGTGGCACGATCTCGGCTTACCGAAGCTTCGAACTCCCAGCTCAAGTGATCCTCCCTCCTCAGGCTCCCTAAACCTAACCCCAACCTTGGGTCAGTTGGGATCACAGGCCCGCCCGACCACACCTCGCTAATATTTTTTATTTTGGGTAGAGACAGGATTTTGCTTTGTTGCTCAAGCTAATCTCTAACTCCTGGCCTCAAATGATCCTTGTGACTTGGCCTCCCAAACTGGTGGAATTACAGGTGGGAGCCACCACACCAGTTAGGACGCACCTCTTAAAGGTACTACTGAGGTGGAGTTGGGCTTTTCCTGCAGAAGCGCTTCTGGGAAGCGCGCCCTTTACCCGCCTTCTTACTTAGGGAACTACATTACCCAGAAAACTCCGCGTCGAACGACACCGTGGACAGGCCATGAGGGCTAAGGATAAAGGCGTTTCCTGTGTGCACGTGACAATGGGACCGGACTTCCGGCGCCCTCTAGTGGCGGCCATTTTGATTGGTGGTGGGTTTATTTGTGGGAGGGGCTAGTCAGCGCTAGGTCGGGACTACGGTGACTGAACCCAGAAGGCGGGGAGCAGTTGTCCTCCGCTGCACGAGGCGACTCTGGAGCTCTGTGACGGTGCCCAGCGTGTCCCACTCCTGGGACAGGATAGGGACCGCCGTGCCCATATCTCCTGGCTGGTCGCCCTCTCCTCTGGACCCTGCTTCAAACCGCGTGGTTCGATGGCGGCGGCGGCCACGCTGAGGCTCTCAGCTCAGGTAATTGTGGCGCCCTCAGGTCACCTCATTGTCGTCCAAAAGCAGCGAGGTGGTAGCGCCTGCTCACGGCTCTGCAGCCCGGACGCCGGCGTCGGGACACTGAGGCGCTCGCGGGAGGGGCCCCATTTCCGACACCCGTGGGATGCGGTGGGGAGACCTACAGGCATAGGAACTGGCGCGGGCAAAGGCCTGCAGGTGAACTAAGCCGGAAGGATGGAATCTGGGGTCGACAGGTGCCTGTTGTGAGCAAATTATGAGGCGGAGCTCCTCCTGGAAGAGCAAGCAGGCTGGGGGCTATGCACTCATCATGAGGACGCTGGAAGCCATGGAGAGTTTGGAAGAAAGGAGGGATGTCTAGAGCATTGCAAGGGTAGAGATAATCAGGTTCACCATGTTTGTGTCTTTCCACAGTGTCAGGTGTTAACTGATGTTATTTGAGTCAACAAAAGCCATGAGCTAAATGGAGTTCGAAGGAGGCAATTCTCTTTAGTGATTCCGGTTCACTTGGTAGTCGGCCATGGGCACAGAGGCTCAAGACACTCAAGTCAGTCAATATAGCAAACCATACACAATAGTATACTTAACATATAAGTGTTATAGGTTAAACATTCCACAACGAACAAAGTAATGTTTAGCATCAAGAGGAAAAAGATTTAGGAGCAAACGTTATGGAACCAGTTTAGAGGGAGCAAAGAAGACAAAAGGCATCCTGGTCTGGGCCAGTTGGTGGGCGACTGGCCTGCAGTCTTAGAAGGAAGCATCTTTAAGGTGGCAGAGCCTTAGCAGCAGATGCTGAGTTTTTGTTATGAGTGACTGTCAGGACGGCCCTTTTTTGCTGCTGAAGGCCTAATCTTTTATAGTTACAGAATCCTCTGGGGAGAACTGATAGTGGAAGAGTTTGCTTGTTTGTGACCTTAGCTGGTTAGATGCAGTCTTTATTTTTTATTTTATTTTATTTTATTTTCTTGAGACGGAGTTTCACTCTTGTTGCCCAGGCAGGAGTGCAATGGCGAGATCTCGCCTCACCGCAATCTCCGCCCCCGGGGTTCAAACGATTCTCCTGCCACAGCCTCCGGTGTGGCTGGGATTACAGGCATGCCCCACCACACCCGGCTAATTTTTTGTATGTTTAGTAGAGACGGGGTTTCTCCATGTTGGTCAGGCTGGTCTCAAACCCCCGACCTCAGGTGATCCGCGTGCCTCGGCCTCCCAACGTGCTGGGATTACAGGCGTGAGCCATCGCGCCCAGCTTATCTTATTTATTTTTTTTAATTTTTTGAGACAGAGTCTCAGTCTGTCACCCAGGCTGGAGTCCAGTGGCGTGATTTTGGCTCACTGCAACCTCCACCTCCCGAGTTCAAGGGATTCTCCTGCTTCAGCTTCCCGAGTGTCTTATGCGTCGGTGTGAAGAGACCACCAAATGGGCTTTGTGTGAGCAATAAAGCTTTTTAATTACCTGGGTGCAGGTGGGCTGATTCCGAAAAGAGAGTCAGCAGAGAGATAAGGGTGGGGCCGTTTTATAGGTTTTGGGTAGGTAAAGGAAAATTCCAGTCAAAGGGGGGTTGTTCTCTGGCGGGCAGGAGTGAGAGTCACAAGGTGCTCAGTAGGGGAACTTTTTGAGCCAGGATAAGGAATTTCACAAGATAACATCATTTCTTAAGGCAAGGACCGGCCATTTTCACTTCTTTTGTGGTGGAATGTCATCAGTTAAGGCAAGGACTGGCCATTTTCACTTCTTTTGTGGTGGAATGTCATCAGTTAAGGCGGGGCAGGGCATTTGCATTTCTTTTGTGATTCTTCAGTTAATTCAGGCCATCTGGGCGTATAGGTGCAAGTCACAGGGGATGCGAAGGCTTGGCTTGGGCTCAGAGGCCTGACACCGAGTAGCTGGGATTACAGGAATCCACCACCAAGCCCGGCTAATGTTTTGTATTTTTAGTGGAGACGGGGTTTCAGCACGTTGCCTAGGCTGGTTTTGAAGCACTAGCCTTGGCCTCCGAAAGTGCTGGGATTACCGGCGTGAGCCACTGCGCCTGACCATCTTTATTTTTTTGTTTATTAAACAAAGCATCTTACCCTTGATGGCAGAGTGCCCTGTGAAATACAAATTGTCTTTTTCTGAGATGGAGTTAGTTATGTCAAGTGTGCTCTCTACAAAGGACAGGATGAAAATCCGGATTTTAAAGGTTTTCCAAAGGCCAATCAAAGGAAGAACAGAGTGGAGAGGTGATGAGCACCTTGGGGCCCTGGGAGGTTGAATCTTTGTTGTAGATCACATAGGTGGTAGAGATGACATTTTATATTGAGGCACGCAGGTCATACAAGCAGTCTGAGGTCACCTGACTCCAGTGCGAAGAAGGGGTACCTGGAGGTCTGAGCTTATCACATCTTATCAGGGATACATTCCTGTAATGTCTGCCTCTCCTCGAGGCACTGGTGGGTATAGGAGCATTTAAGGAACTCAGAAAAGGAAGTGGAGAGTGTTCCATTCCCTCCCTGGTCCTGACCCTGACCCATATGTTCTCTAGCTGATGGTGTGTCATGGGACTGTTTTTTATAATTTTTAAAATATTTTCTTTTCTTAAATTTTAAATTTTTCTGGGTATATAGTAGGTGTATGTATTTATGAGTTACATGAGATATTTTGATAACAGGCATGCAGTGTGTAATAATATTACTAGGGTTAATGGTGTATCCATCATCTCGAGCATTTATCCTTTGTGTTTCAAACATTCCAACTAAACTCTTTTTGTTATTTAAAAATGTACAATTAGGTTATTTTCACCGTAGTCACCCTGTTGTGCTACCAAATACTAGATCTTATTCTCTTTATTTTTATTTTTTTTTGAGACAGTCTTACTCTGTTGCCCAGGCTGTAGTGCAGTGACATGATCTTGGCTCCCTGCAACCTCTGCTGCCCAGATTCAAGCAATTCTCCTGCCTCAGCCTCCTGAGTAGCTGGGGATTACAGGCACCTGCCATCAGGCCTGACTAATTTTTGTAGTTTATAGTAGAGATGGGGTTTCACCATCTTGGCCAGGCTGGTTTTGAACTCCTGACCTCATGATCCACCTGCCTCAGCCTCCCAAAGGGCTGAGATTACAGGTGTGAGCCACCGCCGTGCCCTCACATTTTCTTTCTTTCTTTCTTTTTTTTTTTTTTTGAGACAGAGTCCCTCTCTGTCACCCAGGCTGGAATGCAGTGCTGGGATCTTGGCTCACTGCAACCTCCGCCTCCCAGGTTGAAGCGATTCTCATGTCTCAGCCTCCTGAGTAGCTGGGACTAAACATGTGTGCCACCACGCCTGGGTAATTTTTTGTATTTTTAGGAGAGATGGGATTTCACTGTGTTAGCCAGGATTGTCTCCATCTCCTGACCTCGTGATCCACTGGCCTCGTCCTCCCAAAGTGCTGGGATTACAGGTGTGAGCCACCACATCCGGCCCACATTTCCTTTATCCTTTCATTTGTTGATGAACACTTAGGTTGCTTCCAGGTCTTAGCTGCTGTGAACAGTGCTGCAGCAAGCACGGGAGTGCAGACATCTCTGTGATATACTGGATTCCTTTTGGGTTTATACCCAGCAGTGGGCTTGCTGGATTATATGGTAGCTTAATGTTTAGTTTTTTAAGGAACCCCCAAACTGTTCTCCATAGCGGTGGTACTAATTTCCATTCCCACCAACAGTGTACGAGACTGTCCTTTTTCTTCACATCCTCACCAGCATTTGTTATTGCCTGTCTTTTGGATATAAATAAGCCATTTTAATGGGGTGAGGTGATGTGCATTTTCTTATGACTAGTGATGTTGAGCACCTCTTCCTATTCCTGTTTGCCATTTGTATGTCGATGTCTTTTGTTTGTGTTTTCAAGACAGGATCTTGCTCAGTCACCCAGGCTGGAGTTCTGTAGTGTGATGATGGGTCACTGCAGCTTTGACCGCCTGGGCTCAGGCGATCCTCCTATCTCAGCCTCCCAAGTGGCAGGGACCACAGCCATGTGCTACCTTGCCTTGGCTAGTTTTTAAACTTTTTTGTAGAGATGGGGGTCTCACTGGTTAAACAGAGTGGTTACCAACTGCTAGGCTCAAGCGATCTTCCTGCCTCAGTCTCCCAAACTGCTATGATTATAGCTGGGAGCCACTGCTCCTGGCTGTATATCTTCTTTTGAGAAATGGCTATTCAGATTTTTAAATGGAATTATTAAGAGTTTTTCCTATAGAGTTGTTTGAAGTCTTTACATATTCTGGTAATTAATCCCTTTGCAGATGGGTGGTTTGCAGATATTTTTTCCCATTCTATGGGTTATCTTTTCACTTTGTTGATTGTTTTCTTTGCTGTGCAGAAGCTTTTTAGCTTGATCTGATGCCATTAGTCCATTTTTGCTTTGGTTGCCTGTGCTTGAAAGGTATTACTCAAGAAGTCTTTGTCGGCCAGGCTCAGTGACTCACACCTGTAATCCGAGCACTTTGGGAGGCCAAGGTGGGCGGATCACCTGAGGTCAGGAGTTTGACACCAGCATGGGCAACATGGGGAAACCCTGCCTCTACTAAAAATACAAAAATTAGCTGGGTGTGATGGTACGTGCCTGTAATCGCAGCTACTCAGAGGCTGAGGCGGGAGAGTCGCTTGAACCTGGGAGGTGGAGGTTGCAGTGAGCCGAGATTGTGCCATAGCACTGCAGCCTGGGCAACAGAGTGAGACTTCATCT